GTTTCTCTCGGCATGTTCCACTTTGATTTTGTAGCCTTATTTAGGCCATACTTGTTTATAACTCTGTTTTGTTTGTCTCCTTGCAACTTGGGTCTTTCCAGAGTCTGTTGTAAAAACATTGCAGACGCACTTCAGCTATAAAAGCCGTTACTGCGTATAAAAAGCAAACTAGCTTTTCTCACTTTCTCCACTGCCATAACGTAGCCTTTACAAATATTTTCATGGTAGTTTTTCTCGTGTGCTTTCCTCTCCAGTACCTCAATTTCATGAATTTCAGCACAATACTAGATTGGAAGTTAGGTCTCGTCATTTTACTGTTGCAATTGCAAAGAGTAACCGTAAATTCTACTGTAATAGTTTCTTCTCTCACCTATAGAACCCTATTCTTGCTTTCATGTCAACTACGATCTACAGAAATGTTAATGCAACGTCAATCGTCATTTTATGTCTCTTTGAATCCTGTTCTTTTGTCCTTTCTTCTCAGTAACCCTTTACGTCTTAGTGGATTTATCGCCTTGCTTGGGGTGTAAACATTTTTAAAAAAAGTACAGTTTCAACATAAAACATACCCATCCGTTAACCAGTCATTCATTCCTATGGCAGACATACTTCTCTGTAGCCCTATAACTATATATTTCTTAGGTAAGCTTAGTGTTTTACCATTACAGGTACAGCGTAACCCGGATGTAAGAGAGTTGTCGGGACCGGAGAAGAAGTCTCTTATATCCGGGTTTGGTCTGTTTTATATACATTAACACAGGCTCTAATTTGGGACCAGAGAAAATCTCTCTTATATCCGGGTTTCTCTTACATCCGGGTTACACTGTATTTCTATTTCAGTTACGTTTCTTCTGTAGTTTCCAGTTGATTAATGATAGACGTGTACTGCTGCATATTTAGGTATGATGTACCAGCTGGTACCGATGAATGTCGCCGGTACCTTGTTACGATAATTCCTTTCACAGTATTACTACTACTACTAATGATGGCGCTGTTTGACGAAATAAATTATGGAATCGGACTTGCTGACCATTGAAAAGTACCATTTTTTAAGAAAGGTATACCGTCAAATACGGTGAGCGTCTTCTAAAATAAGGCTGAATCATGATGGATTTATTGCTATGCTTGACAAAACTTAAGGAAAAGAAACCTCACAGTTGATAAGGAAAACAATTTGGGAATAAATATTTTAATATTAGAAAAAAAAAAACGTTCATTAATCCAGTGTTGTCTAGATTTTTAATACAGAAAAATCTTTTTCTTTAAATGTGCATTTGATATGCCCGTCAAATAAAAACTAAAAAGAAATATTCCTAGAAATATGATTTAATTTTATTTTGATTCTAAAGATATCTTTATTATGTTATTGTGTCTTCTAAAAAAAGGCTGAATCATGATGCTGACCTTGATGGAATTGATTTAAAAAGAAACAGACATGCAAAAGGACATGCCTGACAAAAATATCGGTAAGGAAAAGAAACCTCACAGTTTTGAATAAATGGAAAACAATCTGGAATAAATATTTTAATATTAATTTAAAAAAAAAAAATAAAGGAATGAAAACGTTCATTAATCCAGTGTTGTCTGTTTGACAAAACCAAAAAAGTTTAGATTAAAAAGGGCCAATTGATTTTGTTTTTTTAGCAAAGATACAGTAATTGTAAAGGACAAAGCCCTCGTCAAAAACGTGGGGGAGATTGGTCAAGGTTGGTCATCACTAGCTCGTCGGATTCACGATCCATTTATTCGTTACAATATACTCAGTCACCTGTGTTGTCTATCGTATGACAAACAGAAGAGCTGGTATTTCAAAAACGCAGAAATCAGCTCAAATATCCTGGCGAGACGGACCTTGAAAGAAGAAGTTTGCTTGACGGAAGAAGCGTAGAAGAAGTAAACCAGGCCAAACCCTGAGGGTGAAATTCCTCCAACCCAAATCGAAGTGAAGAAATACGTCCAACTCAAGCCGAAGCGAATAAGCTCGTCCAACTCAAGCCGAATAATATAACGTTTTTCTTTATTTAATTAATTTTTTGTAAAACATGTTAAAGGTTGTTACTTATCAGTAATTTTTTTGCCTCGTGAGTTTTTTTCTTTTTTTTTCAATTAAATATTTAAAAGAAAATAGTTAAATTGTTGCTATCCATTTTAAACTTTTGATAAAAAGTTCATGATTACTGGTAGAAGTAAGTTTTAGTATATAATTCATTTTTATTTTTCAATTAAATATTTAAAAGAAAATAGTTAAATTGTTGCTATCCATTTTAAACTTTTGATAAAAAGTTCATGATTACTGGTATAATTAAGTATATAATTCATTCAGATGAAAATAAAATAAAGCATAAAATTAATAAAATTAGCAATCAACTGTTTAATTCTTTCTTTTTAGAAAGACCGTCTCTGCCAGGATTGATTGTTTTGTGTTTTACGGCTTGTCAACCCTTTGTGGGTTATTTACATTATTCGGACTGTTATCCTCATCTTCATTGCCATATTCACAATTTTTCGGCTATTGTACGCTACAGCCTTCTTCAGGAGATTGAAATTTCGAATTGCAGCGTTTATCGACAGTACTCGTTTGATTATCTTTCCTTACTCTAACCTTCTCTCTTGTAACTGACCACAACTCTTGTACTACTTTACTATATAGCTCTTGACTGATTCCTTATCTTCCGACAGAGTTGCAGTTATTTATACATTTCATTTTTCCCGTACTTTTTTGACAGCGTGTGATTGATTTGCAACTTCCACATATCAAGTCCCCTTTCTTTTTTTTTTATACAGTAGTATTACTATTCCTAGACTGAAGTTTTGTGATTTTTTTCAGTATTCACTGAATAAATAGCTATGCTAATCCTTCATGGAATTATTCTCCTACATTTTTTAAAAGGACTGTTTTTATGTCATCTTTGCTTGGCATTTTCAACTTTTCTTATTTTGAAGCCCAAACCTTGTCATCTATTATTACAAGATTATCATTTGTCTCAGGTGAGTGACACTTTTATTTTTGAAGCATACAGGAATGTGCAGTACTCTTTGATTATTCTTAATACTGGATCCCTATATTTTAGAACTTTTGTCATTTCTGTTTGTCAGATCAGTAAATGCTGTTTGTTTTTAGGAGTTGTGCCAAGCTTCATGTCTGATAGCTTCTTTTGATCTTTCAAAGTTTAACTCCCCTGACTCTTAATTCTGCACAATTTTGTTTTTCATCAGTTCTAGTGTTGACTTTTTCTGCCGATTCCTTAATTATAATTATCAATTTACTATTTTGTTTTGTTTTCATTATACCCCAAAGCTTGGAATGACTGATTTCTACATGAAATTTAGTGAGGAATGATTTTGCTTCTCTTAATTCTGAAGTTAAGACACTAAAGGCTCTGTAAGCCACAATTCTAGGATTGATTCTTTTATTAACATCTTTAATGAATTGGCTGTCAGCAATTAAGTTAATTTCCAAGTCCATATATATATATATATATATATATATATATATTTCCAAGAGAATAAAATCCAGGTAGAGCTCAATGTACAAGACAGATCAAGAATGTAAAAGACTCAAACACTAATATTCAATGGTTATAATTTATTACATTGGAATCATATTCACGATCCAATTCATCAGACATAAAAAATTTGAATTTGTAGGTCTGATGAATTGGATTGTGATTCCAATGTAATAAATCGTAACCATGAAATATTAGTGTTTGAGCCTTTTATTTTTATATATATATATATATATATATATATACACATATATACACACACACACACACACACACACTAGTTCTTCTATTTACAATAGTGAGATGGTGTGATAGCTATAAAACGGAGTTCAAGTGTGTTACATACATGGGACTAAACTTTGAAAACTACCATCAGATTATATTTTCCTTTTAAAGAAAATTAAGGTTTCATATATCTTCCTATCATAATGCCTGTTTAACCAGGGATTCTGAAAATGACCCATGCAAAAGCAAAAACCTTCCTTCTAATTCTAGGTCATTGCCAATGAATCTGCTTTGTGTGCTGAGGCAGATAATCGCCTTTACTCTGTTCATATTAATCATTAGTCGATAAATATGAAATCTAGCTTCACCTTTTCTTATTTAGAATTAATAAGTGAAATGTTTGTCAAAGAGACATAGGAATGGAGTTCTCCAGAAGGATGGAATTCAATTTTAAAGAACCTCTTGCTTGTCTAATAGCTTGTTTAAAATTCCTTCAGCAACATCAGATTTCATTTTGGTAAATTAAATTTATTAACACATTAATGCCCTCCATAAAATACAGTATTAATTATAAGTATCTACTTCATACAACACATTTATGCCCACTTCCACCTCCCACAAAAAATGGGTTAGAGGTCATTAAGTTGCCACATTACTCATTTTCATCATATTAAAAAAAAAAAAGACTGTCGTTTTTCGCCCACCTCTCTCCATGCTGCCATGATTTTTTTTGTTAAATCAAAATAAAGCTCTACAAATTTAGCTAAAAGATTTTATTACTTTAAATAAAAATTGTGCCATGAATACACATAACCTGCATTGTGTTATAGCTCCATGGATTCTGGATTCAAGTCAATGATAAAGTTAGTCCATTGAATAGTTACTTACCCTCAATTTAGAATACTAAACACTCCAATATAATTAAATCGTTGTTATTGTTTCCTATTATAGTTGTCTGCATTTTACCATTTTTTATGGCAATGGCTAAGTCTATTCAGGTATATTATCCCCTTTGTTGAGAGAAATTGCTGAGGATGTCTTGATCAGACTATTATTCCCCTCACCTGCTAGCATCATCCTAATTGCATGTTCAATATTTATTGGTTTTTGTCCTGGATGCAAAATCCATGTGTGTGGAGAGAGAGGGAAAGAGAGAGAGAGAGAGAGAGAGACAAAAATCATTTTGCATTTTTTGCTTTTTTTCATTATTTTTATTTACAAGATGAGCATTTCAAATCTGCAAGGCGAGCATTAAGTGCATTCCAAATTTCAGAATTTTTTCTCCGTCTTAAACTTTTTCCTCTTCTTTGATGTTTGTTTGTTACTATCTCCATTTACATTCAAGTTGTGCACACCAGAGAACGGACGCTTGGTTTTAGAGCTAAAAGAGAGAAAAAAAACAGATGCAATATGAAAAGATGTTTAGGTCCAATTTTGTCAAAGCTCAAATGCCATTTCTGTTGTTCAAACTATAAATATGCAAACTCATACAATGTTATGAGTAACTAAACAACTGTTGCCTGACTCAGGCTAGATTTATTTTTGCCAAAGGAAAAATTAAAAAAAAAATATATAATCACAAGAATAAATCAGATTAACTTTGCACCCATAACGAGGAAAGCATGTGATAAAATTATAATTCATTTTGAAAGTCAATTTACATTCACTGTTATAATTTTAATACCCTTTGCTTAATGTTATCTAAAAGATTCTGTCCCAAAGTGCTTACAATATCTGTGCCTTTTCCTGAGTGAAGTTCTAAAGCATGATTAATGATCCTTTTGAGAGTCCCATAGAAGAATGCACAGTTGGGCACTTAAAGTCCAACTTGTTCGAAAGAAGAAGTCTTTTCAAGCAACAAGTTATAGTCAAGTCAGTCTGACCTTAATTTTGACACCCCATAATTTCTAAGATGCCATAGCTAGAAAGGAAACAAACCTTTTAATGCTGACAGATGTTTTGCCACCAGAAATGGCAGAGTCCCATTCCTCTTCAGTTCCCTTGATTGCATAGTGGCTAAGATCGACACCTTCCAGGGTTGCTGATTTCTCTAATTTGTTCTTTACATAACCTGCTACCTCATCCTGCAAGAAAATGTTTGGGAAATGTTGAGACATGCTGTAGAAGGCCATAAAATAGAGTGGCCTAAATGTCTTTGGGCTATTGAACTTATTGTTACTATCATGTTCAATAGCCCAAAAACAAAAGACAAATATAGACTACTCAGAACTTGAAGTATTTTAAGTAGATTTAAATGGAAGAAGAGTGGGGAAGAGAGAGAGAGAAAAAAAAATCAAAAAAAAAATCAAGGTCTCTAGTATTAGAAATGCTGATGATTTATAAAGTGGAGATTTGTTAAAGAATACAATAAAAAAAAAAGTTGGGGGCAGAAACAAAGTCTTACCAGTTCTTCATCAAGAGTATTTTTAACAGGTTCCATGACAACTTTGGTAGGTTTTATTATCGTCTTCTCTACAGATTCTTCTATGATTCGGTTGAAATACTAAAAAAGGAAAAAAAGAGAGACTTAAATTTTTTTTTTTAAAATTTTATTTAAAGCAATTCACAGATGTGTCTATGGAAGTTAAATGAATTAGATGACAGAAGTCCTGTTGTTTTATTTTTGGCAAACCCCCAAATTAAGAATTGCGACTTGATTAGTAATTCAAGAAAGATCATGAGAAGTGGATGAAATGAGAGAATCTTGCCCTGCAGATTCTACAGCTTTGGTAAATCTTTTTGGATGGGAACACTGAGGAGAGAAGGCAAAAACAAGACTCCATCATCAAAAACAGGAACTTGTAATCTTTTTTAAAATTGACTGCTTGGGAGCAGGAGATTTCATTTTTAGTGTTCTTAAGATATGACAGGCGTTATTTTATTTGCCAAATTATAAATGGCATTTTATAGGGATAAATCAAGATAAAAACTTGAAAATGTATCTGAGGCAATATGCAGTGTGTTGCAAAATGTACAGGTCATGTTGTAGTAAAGCTATCTATTCAGTTTATTAGACACCTAAAGAGAAAAAAAAAAAAACACAAACTGCAGGGATTTGTAGAGATCCCATTAGTGCGTTATGAAAAAATGCTACATTGAATACCATCAGCTGAAAAACAAGTTGTTATTCTTTGACAAAGTTTTTAAGAAAATGTTCATTCATTGATAATGGCACAAACTAAAATGTATTAATCATGCAAAAAGACAGTCTACAATCTATATATAAAATTCTGTGACATCTGTTAGTCTGTTTGTCATACTCCCTAAAATAGCCATTCATTGACTGATCAAAACCAAATTTTTCAGAGAAGTGGAAACAGGTAAGGGGATACAAAGTTAAGATAGTTTTACTATGGTACAGAAAAACTAGGGTTTTTGTCAAAGTATTTTTCCAAACAAATCAGCATTATTCAAATTTCATCAATTGGCTTTTGAAATTGAACAAGATGTAGAGTTTGTAAATCTCAACAAAAAATGTTAGTGATAACTTTTAACAATACTAAATATGATATATATTTCAACACGTATCAGTGTGTTGCAAAAAATTCTAGTTGTTTATAACTTCAAACATGAATTGAAAAAAAAACTAAATGAAATCTACAACAGTGGTGATATACCAGAAGACCTATTTTTATAGCACTGCTTAAGAAGCCAGGAGCAAATGAATGTGAATTCCATTGGACAATCAGCCATATAACAAAATTTATCATCCAATTTTGCAGCAGAATCAGACCAGAGCAGTGCGTGTTGAATAATCAAGAACCTATACTGGCAGCATACTGCCTGCAAATAGATAGTAAATGAGTTCAGCAAATATACAAAAATAAAAAGGGGTGTAAAGACAAGGATATGTCATCTCACTGGACTTATTAAATCTATTCAGCGAGGCAATTCCGAGAGAATTAAAAGTTCTACAAGTGGCCACAATCTTAACAACATTAGATATTCAGCTGACACAATGTTGATAGCAGACACAGAAAGGAAACTATAAGAACTACTAAATGGGGTAGTGAAGGAAAGCAAGAAGAAAGGACTAAACATCAGGTGCAAGAAGACAATACAATGCATGATTATTAGCAAAAGGATGTGCCCATGGTGTGAATACCAGAATCAAACAAGGGCAGAATTTTATATATCTGGAAAATGTTTTAACAGAGGACGGAAATGAGACATTGAAATCTGAAGATGCATTGGGATAGTTGAATACACATTACAAAAGCTAAGAGTACTAAAAAATAAAAAAAAATGTTGCTAGAAACAAAGAAAAGAATACTAAATTGTTACATATCTATCCTCCTGTATGGCAGTGAATGCTGGACTATATCCTCAAAGATGAAGAAAAGACTTGAAGTAACAGAAATGTGGTTCTACAGGAGGATGCTGAGGATACCAGGGACTGAACATTTAAGCAATAATGAAGATTTAGAGAAAATGGAAACAACAAAGAAACTTATACTTAACATCAGGAAGAGGTAAATGAGGTTTTTAGGGCACATAATGAGGGAAGGGGGTTTGGAAAATCTGATACTCACAGGGCAGGTTGAATACAAGAGAGATAGAGAAAAACAACGCATAACATACTCAGTGCGCTTGAGCAAATGGATGGTGAAGTTTTAAGAGAAAGACAAAATTTATCAAGATCAGAGACAGGAAGTTGAATCTGTGGAGAGCCATGATTGTCTGTGTCCTGAGGGGACATGACACACAAAGAAGAATCACATGCATACACTGTTTTTTAGTGTCATTTAAGAATGCTGGTAACTGTGACAGACACGATTGAATGTAATCCATCTATATGTATATTTTTTTGTTAATATTTCCATGTTTATTCATTTCCTCCTCAAGGTGGGAAATACCTGAGGAGGTAAGGAAAGAGGAGAAACAATTTCAAAGTTTTCGTATTTATAAAGACTTGAGAGGAAAAAAAAAGAGAGACAGAGAAAAGCATAACACTGTGGTAGCCTTGTATCAGACTAAGGCAATATCTACATGTGTAAAAATATCTATGATAATAATCATTTCTAATTGATTAATGAGATATGTTTGATAAGATGTAACAAATCTAATTAACAATGGGGAGTGTCATTAATCAATAAATATGATTGGTAAATAAAGCTGTGTTTTCATAGACTTACATATGATGTGGGGCCACAAAGACAGTTTTATCTTTTTAGTTATAAACTAATTTTTTTTTTTGGGGGGGTAATGTGTTCTATACCACAGACATGTGATATCAGTCCTTCTATATGGCTGTGAATTCTGGCCAATCTCCTCAAAGATGAAGAAATTTGAAGCAACAGAAATGTGGTTCTACAGGAGGAGGATGAGGATACCATAGACTGAATATGTGATCAATGAGAAAGTTTTAGAGAAAATGGAAAACAAAAAGGAAACTTATACTCAATATCAGGAAGAGATAGTTGAAATTTCTCAGGCACAGAGGGCTTGGAAAATTTGATACTGACAGAACAGAAGAAAACAACATGTAACCTACTTGAGTAAATGGATAGCAGAGCAAGGCTTAGGAGAGAGAGAAAAAAAAAAGAAAATTCCCAAAAAGCTATGAAGGACAGGAAATTGTGGAGAGCCATGATCGCCTACATCCTGATCATGATGAGTGAACTGTCCTTAGTTATCATGCCTGCTTCTAAGTTTTACTTTTACTGAATATCAAATCTAACTGTAGGCTAGTGACTTTTATGAAATCATTATTATTAACCCATACATAGTTTTGACCAATGCATATGAGAGGGGTGGTGGAATTTTAATTTAATAATTTTAACATGGATGATTTTTTTTCTTTTTCTGATGAGCTTGCAAGAAAGCAATTGCATACTACAGCAGGATGTGAAGGACAAAAATCAGCTCTCTCTTTTCTTACTGCTTACAAATCTCACATGGCTATTTTGAGCAAAACTTCCTTGTTTAGTGCCAAAAAGAAAAAAACTTTCTAAATTGCCCATAATTCAATTTTCCCTTTTTTTTTTTAAAGGAGGAAGAAGAGAAAGAGATGAACATGAAACAAGAGACACTTACCTGGACAACTTTACGGAGAATTCTGTTGTAGAGTCCAAGCAATTGGCTAACAGGGAGGTCAATGTCCTTTTCTAAGTCTTCAATTGTTTTGTGTTGGAGTCCAATACCAAGAAGAAGAGCCTGAAACAAAAATGGAATTTGACTTTCAGAGAAAAAAAACAATTATGCTTTATACAAAATACGATTAAACAGCAAAAAGATGGGTGTTTGATCCCAATGTCTTTGGACAGAATCAGAAATAATTCATTGAGATTAGAGTCAAAAAGAAATTGGTTACATTTAAGTTTACTAAACTAAAAGACAATACATTTTACATTCCTAACATTTGTTGTCCTTCATTATGTGATTGTTATTCACAAAGGCTTTCAAAACCAAATGAATGTGAGAAGATTCATTGTAATTTTGTTTTCAAGGATAACAACCATTACACTACCTTATGCTTCCATATATACACATATTGCCACTTAGGAAGAAAAATAGTTCCTTTTTTAAAGCATCTTCTCTAGAGTAATTGGCTAAATGTAATTGGCAGAAATGCCCAACAAACAGAACTGACAAAGTTTGTAATAAACAATAACAAAACAGGGGCAAACAATATATGTGAAGCAAAACAACAGTAATAAGATAATAAGTTTACAAACTAAGAATGGACAGTATTTACATTAGTCGGACTATTGTCCTCATCTTTGTCGACATATTTGTCACGATTCGGCCGTTGCACGCTCCGGCCTTCTTCAGGTGGTTGGAATTTCGAACTGAACCCTTTATTTCAATCACTGGGGTAGACTGTTCTAGTTCCATGTGCCATGTTTGATGGATGTCAGTTATACGTTATCTCCTGCTAATTTTCCCTCTGAACGTTCTCTTATCACATTACAAATTACAAAAGCAAGGCATTTATTTATGTTATCTTTGCAAGAATGGTGCAGTAGTATAACCTAGGATAGAGAGTTGAATTCAAAGTTGCTGGTCACTTCAACAGGGTCTCAGAGAGGGGACCCCCCCCAAAAAAAATAATGTTTATATTCACAACTGGGGAGAGAGGAAGACAGATGAAAAATTCAAAATTGGCACAATGAAAATATTTGTTTACGATCGAAGAGTGGAGAGTTAATCCGAAAAGAAAGAGTAGCTGAGACATTAGGAGGGACTTACCAGTTGCACAGCACTAAGATTAAATCCAGACATTTTCTTAAGAAAGAACAGTTTGCTTATAGAAGGTATCAGGTCCATGATCAGGTGGTAGTCCACCATGTTCTGTGAGTAGAGTTCCAGCCGTTTCAGGTCGTAGGTGGTGAATTCATAATCAAGTTCTGTTTTGCTCAGGTCTTTCAACAAGAAATAAAAACAAAAGTTAAATCAATTGATTCTGTAAATTGTTCTTTATTAAAGACCAAATGAATTCAGCTTGAATTTCAGTTGACTTAGGAAAAAGCCATATATTCTCTATGACAATCAGCAGATTCTCTCGTTAAGAGTTACCAAATACTGGGATCTGGTTGGTGGATTTTATGATATATTAACCCCTCTTGAGTTATTTAATTATAATAATTTATATTAGATTTAGCAATTATTCCAATGGAAAGTGTATAAATATGAAATCTGATAAGATTAATAGATTTATCAAACATCTGGCCCTGATAAGCAGTTTGACATGAGACTTTAAATGAATTTATATAATATATAAATATATATACATGTTATAGTTCTAGTTATCTACTGAGCACTTTTTTAGCAGAAGTTCTGCTAGCCTGAAAAAATGCTAAAGTCTCATAATTTTCATGTATTTCTTCAGTTGTTTGACTTTATGTGTTAGTAATACAACACCTAGTGGTGACAGTTTCTATCATGCTAAACACAATCTTCATGCCTGAAGATTGTGAATTTGTCACCGCTATAACTTTCATATATTCTATGCCTGATATTGAGCACTTTAACCCATACATTTTAAGCAGATCAAAATTATATATATATATATATATATATATATATATATATATATATATACCCACACACTGGACTTAGATATTAGTTTGGTAAGGACATATACAGTTGGAATTTGAACTCAGTTTTGCCACCTCACATTTTTGGAATCTTTCTTGTAATAAAAAAACTTAAATAGAAAGGCATAGAAGCATATCTGTGAATTTTTTTCTAAGTTTTCTTTATGAATTGGCCTGCAGGACAATATGTTGTGTTGCAGCTCAGTCCAGGCACCAGGTTCATTTACAGAGTGCAGTTTCTTCCAGTCAAACACTTGTGGCTTAAAAATTACCCACAAGTGAACAAACAAAATTTCTAGCAGTCAACCAGATTTTATTCTTGGGTTGCAACCTACTGCTATAAGCAAGTGAAGTTGAAATGAGCCGTAGGTGGGGACAGACTAATGGGTGTCTTCCCTTGTCTGTTCTCGGAGGCCCACTTCATCCCTGTGTGACTTTTCACAGGATGGTCAGTTTTATAGATAACAATTTTCTTTGCCATGTCATCTGTGTTTAAAAAAGTAATGTATTTTCATTTTGTGACTTTGTCTGAATCAACAGTCAAAAGTAAATTTTCTGAATCCATTTTTGTGACAGGTTCAGCTGTTTTCAATTTACCAAGACTTCAGCTGACTGATATTGCTACAAATGGATGATTTACTGGTTTCAACTAACAATGTTCACTTTGTAATAGACAATAACCATGTGTATACACTCGCATCTCTCTCCATCCATGTTTTCTATTCTCATATATAAGACATGCAGACAAGCACAGTGATTATAAGTATAGTCAATAGAATTGACAAGTAGAGTTTAAATTTCAAGTGAGAACAATAATACTTCACACTAATGCCCTAAGGAAAAATATGGACCCATTTCTTCTGTCTCTGAGTATAGGTTAATTAGCAGAGCAAATTGTGTCTTTTTTTAAGGGAGGGCAATTAGTGGAGAACAAAAACACTGTGTTCAACCCCCATAGTATGATAAAACCCATTACTCCTTATGTTTGACAGATTTTTTTTTGAGGATGGCCTGATTCTTGGAGTGCATGTGTGTATATATGAAATATCTTTTTCTTTTGTATACCAAACATTTTTAATATCCCAACCTATTGGTAGAGCTTTTATTCAAGTGTTCCATAGAATGCATCTTAAGCTAAATTTGTCATAGTGTAATAAATATCTACTGAATAGTTTGAAACACTTCTTGGAAATTAATTTGAACTGATTTACTTTTTTATTTTTTAAATACTACTGCTGAAATGCAAATGCAAAACCCAAGAGCCATTTAAGGTATAGGGTTACTGAATGGAATTTTGTTGTTGTAATGACATAAAAGTAGGAACTAAAAAAATGTATATAATGAGGATATGTAGGATAGATAACAGGTGACCCTAGACTTGAAGAGGTTAAGATCACAATGAATAGGGAAGCATTCTCTTGGGAGTTTGTTTCACAAAGTAACATTTCTGTTAAAGAAGATGTTTGAGTGGAATTTCCTCTTTAGTAATGAAATAAAAAAGGGAATGTGCAGGTGTTGACTGTATGTGACATCGTGAGACCTAGCTGTGAAGGTTTGACTCGGTGGAACTATGAAATGCAGCTGGTCTGAAAATAGCAATAGAATAGCAAGAGGCTAGCATCGTTTTGACTGTCAGAATTGCGGGGTGAAAATAAGTCATCAATCACAAATCCATGTAAACTCTCTTGAACTGTGTCAAGGCTTGACAATGATGATTCGGCAGCTCTAGCCTAGATATGGCAACAATACTCCATTTTCTGCCTGACTCTTGAAAAGTTAGGGAGGGTATAATAGTAAAAAAAACTAAACATTTTTTTTCAGCATCTTAAGTGACAGATTGTATGTATATATATATATATATATATATATATATATATATATGTGTGTGTGTGTGTGTGTGTGTGTGTGTGTTGGTTCCACTTGAGTTCTGGAGCAAGCTTGAGTCCCAATAAACGTTCAAGATGTGGAGCCATATTTATAATACAACCGTTCATGCCAAAAGTACGAAGCTAAGACTCAGCTTCTATGTAAAATGATCCTAATGTTTTGGTTCTTATCTGAATTAAAGAATGTAGAATCTAATGAAAACCTGAGTTGCCGTTTTTTGATCAAAAAGGAGGACAAAACTGTTGCTCACCTTGACATTCTTCTTTGCAATGTTTTTGCTGCAGAATGCTGAGCACTGTACTGGTGCCAAACTTGCGGAACTCAAACGACAAGAGAGAGATGAACCGGTGCCGGAAATCTGTGGAATGAGATAGATGTACAAGCAGGATGAGAATTTTGACAACTAGACAAAGCAGGAGTTTCTTGGCAACAGTCAAATGAAACATTTTCATTTTATTGTTGTAAGACATTGAAACAATACAAAGAATAAAAAAGCAAATATACATGCAAGTACCATAAAATTATATTTGCACTTCCCACCCCTGTGGATCTCACTTCAGATTTCTTCCTTTCCTGATAACAACAATCTTCAATGATTTAAAGGCAATGTCAATTATCATCAACTGTTTTCTTTAATTTTTTCTTTTTAACTTTTATCTCAATCCTCTTCATTCTCAGTCTTCTTATTCATTTTCACTCCCTGCTCGCTAGTGGCATTATCGCCTTGTTTGGAGTGAAATGATAATAAAAAAAATTTAAAATAAAGTGCATGTGTGTGTGTGTATATATATATATATATATATATACACGCACACGCATATATCTCACACACAAACACACATATACACAGTGTGCGATGTGTAAATTGCCAATTTATATTTTTAATTTTGTGCATACACATTGTTCGTTTTTGATTTTGTCGACTGCTCAGTATAGTAGGTTTAGTTGGGCACCGTCTGTGAGAAAAAGACCACCGTGATGCAATTAACTCTGTCAGAAATTTGGAAATGGCATGCCATACTGCTTGGCATTCATTCCAGAAGCTCCAATACAAACATTTCAGAGGGCTTGGGTGTCAATCTGAGGACAGTGCGAAGCATTTGGAAAGAGTTGGATGAGTCTAATGGTATTTATGAAAGTGTTTGGAGTGAACACTAGTGATGGTGATTTATCCATTCCCACAGTCCTCAGACTCTACACAGAAACCTGTTGATATTTTTGTGTAATTCTGGTAAATATATCTGTTAAAATGAGATGTCAGTGTCATTTTCATTTTTTGTGTAATTTAGACAATTTACTCATCACACCCTGTGTGTATGTGTATATATATATATATATATATATACACACACACACAGAGATGGCTTGACAATTGTGTTTAAGAATGAAACAGACTGTTGATGCTGGGTGTTGACTTCAATGTCCACTTTTATATTTATATATACAAAGTGAGGCAAAAGTTGCATACCATAGAGATAATTTATGAAAAGTCTAATTACACATGAAAATTTTATTTATTAATCATTTAATTCTTATTCTTATGTTCAAAATGTCGTCCTCCTTTTTTAAAAAAAAACTTTTCAATGTTGTGCTGCATATTTCATTAACACATCGATGAGTTTTCACTGTCATTTTACTGCATTCATATTTAATTCTTTCTTTGCTTTTGAAATTAAATTGTTAACTCACCAGTAATTTACAATTACCTGAGGAGACATATGGATATGCACTGAAACATGATTGCAATTGTATGGTGATTTTTTAACACATTTTTGTCTTTATATATATATATATATATATATATATATATATATATATATATATAATGTGTGTGAAATGAGTAGGTAAAATGTTTATCATTATGTGGCATGACGAACAGATAGTTTTAAAAAACTTCATTCACAAAGAACACTCTGGATTATATTGTAATATCCATCATGTTAGCACTGTTTAACCATTAACCTTAATTTTGTTTATCAAACAAAAAGCTTGTTGCCGGTACTGCTGATAACTCTCTGATCAGCAGATGATAGGGTGTTTGGAGTGTATGCTGTAAGGTGTTGATATGGTAACAAAAAATCAACAGTAGAGTACAGTTGAGGGCCCTTGAAAATGAATGCAGTGGAAAGGGAAATAATACCTGTGAATCATGCAGAGTGCAGAAGATCTAATAAAAAAATAAATAAAAACTGTCAAAATTGGCATATGGAATATGGGACAGTCAACATTTTGTAACTTCGTACAGTAACAAAACGAGTGAGTTTGGACTGAGAATTCTTCAGTGTTAATACTAGACCACCTTTTGCTGAAGAAAATTAATGTCAAATTAAAAAAAAAAAATAATTTTTTTTCATATTAACCTGTTAACATAAAAATAAATATTGCTCCTTGCCTTATTTTGTAGGCTAGCTCAGAATAATCAAAGTGTTAAACAAAAATGGATAAATTTTCGTTTTTGAAAAAAAAAAAAAAAAAAAAAAAAAACTGGTATTCTTATAAAAATTTTCATTCATTGTAATAAACAGTCAAACACAAAAAATATTTTTTTTTTGTTTTTTAATTTTTCACCCTGTCTCCTGATCACTGGCTATTTGCTTAGCTGCCTTGCCATTTCTGACAGTGTCTCAGGTCAAAATGCAAGAGAAATCGAATAGTAATTAATTAGGCAAAAAAGAAACAACATAGGAACAGTGAGTACAGTTTTCAGGAATCTTGTAGAGAAACAAATATGTACAAGTAAAAACAGTCTGGAGGTTGTTCTTATTTCTGTTTTTGAGAAAACAATATAAACCTTTAATCCACTGGGAAGACATGTATGGGTGCTACTGGAGACTGGAAGATAGATATATATATATATATATATATATATATATATATATATATATAAATAATAAAACAAGACAAATAAAAATTATATATATATACATATAATTTTTAAGGAATCAATGGAATTATTATTTGGCATTATTTCTTTCTACTTCAAATTTTGTGGATAACAATGAGTAGACAACCTTTTTATTTTTATGCTTTTTTTTTTTTTTTTTTTTTTTTTTTAAAAAGAAATAGTGTGAATTATATCTACTGAACTGCATATCCAAGAGACAATAAAGAAAAGATGTTCTATGGCAGGGTATGAACCTGCATAATCCTTTGATAGGGAAGTTACTGTCAGAGAGTGTCACAGCACAGCCAAGTTCAATGACCCTTTTGAAGAATGCTAACCCTCTCTTCATTTCTCGTATCTGAAATGTATCTTAATTGGGCCTTTGCCTTGTTTGGGTGTTTGTGAGTCCCTAAGTCTTTGCATATTCTCAGCATTGGAAGCTCCCCTGGCTGCTGTTTAATCTGGGTTCACATTTATACGGGACTTTCTTTTTGTCGCTGTAGTCTTGGCTTTTTTGATTGCAATCTGGTCCTCTGTTGGCGGAGATTTCTTTTTGTGAGGGATACTGCTGCCATGGGCGATAAGCAACAATATACAGAAGAACTCAAAATTGATCACTGCATTTAAGTATTGCAATAATATTTAAGCTTATCTTTGAAAAATGTAATGATAATTCTTCTGTTGCCACTTAATTTAAAGACAATTTGATGTACGTAGGTCCTTACTTTCCAACAAACAATTATTTTTATTTCATGGATGACTTTCGCTGGATTTTGCAATTAATTTCGATTATTCCCAAAATTATTTTCCAACTTATTTGTTGCAAAAAAATCATATAAAAAAATTGCCAAAAACAATTGCAGTAATGAAAACTTGGGAATCCAAAAAATCTGTGACATGAGCTACTAAAACTTATAAAGTGATGTCTCTTTAATTTAAAAATGTGACAAAGTGACATTCGAATTTATTATATACATTGTCTATTTGGGCAGCAATCTCTTTTTTATACAAGTTTCATTAAAGACAATTGATAAGGTATTGTGATTAAGCGTTTTATTTTTCTTGCATTCATATAATACTCACTGTGTTTGAAAAATAAATACATCCCTATAACTCTAGATACATGCATAAAAAATACAAACATTAAGTTAAAAATCAAAATCATCCTTGATAATGGCTAAAAGAATAGTTGAAAGATGCTTGGCCATACAGAACATTGACAATATAGTGTGTGTGTATATATATATATATATATATAATTGCTTGTTGTTGAGTATGACTATCAGAAAATATTGTAAAACCTTTGAATTGATGTGAATTTTAAAGCTGGACAAATGTTTTAAAGCTAAGGTACAAAGTTGGCAGAATACGCATTGTCATTAGTTTTATTTCTGTGACTATTTGCATGTCTTTTTCAGTCCACTAACTTGCAATCTTTTCCACAAACATGGCATGAATTCCCAGTACTTAATGCCATTTTGCAGTTTGACTTCATTTTCCTACTTTAAATACACATACATACATGCACATATGCATACACAAAGAAGTTTGTTTTATACCATTTGCTCAGATTCTCATTGAACTTTACTCATATATGTTCGCTTAATGCTTTCACATATAAATATATCAAGAAAGTTTTATGTAAATCTACGTAGGCAGAAATGGATTTGTAAAGCCTTAAATCAAAGGAAAAATCTAGTTTTTTTCTTTTATGTGTCTATGTGTGTGTGTGTGTGTGTGTGTGTGTGTATATATAAATAAATAATCAGTGTATTCCAAAAGATCTATGTATTTACATTTGCATATGTTGATGTCTCAGGGAAAGATGAAGAAGATATCTGTCAGGGGAAAAAGGTCCTTTGAAAATAGATTTATTTAGGTATGACCAGCCTCTAGCTAATAAAAACAAAGATTCAAAGGCCATAACTAAAGATATTTATGATTGATATTCCTAAATTATATGTGAAGCACCAGACAGGGATGAATAAAATTAAATAAATAAATAAAATGGGTAGGAGTGCACCCATGTTATTTGCCTGGGTGGCTGGGTACATCAGTTAAGTGTAGATGAAAGAATGGGAAAAAAGAATAAAGTTTGAGAGGGAGGAATGGCCATCTTCAAATGGGACACTTGTTTAGGCTTTGTGTTTAGAAGAATCTCAGGAGGGTTGGGTTTGGCTTGACTTGAAATAATCCATCTTGCTTTCTTGTTTTTTTCTAAATAAAGAAATCAACCAAATCATTATACTCAGTTTGTGCGTGTTGTAGCCATGACAAAAGAATCTAATGAAAAATACATTTTCTTTTACAACAGTTCTCCAATAATGGATCTCCATTAATCACATATAAAACATTATACAGTGGAAATTTCAGATCAAAATTCTGTTAACTCGGTATTTACTCTGTCTCCCCACTAAGATGAGTTGTGACACAAAGTCAGTTTTTAAGGTGGGGACCCGAGTGTGTACACCCAG